TCTTAGTACTTATTAATCTTTTCAGCAGTTTGGCTCTATGCGGTAGCAGCGTAATCAGCCTGTAGCTGCTCTACGCCTGTCCTTCCCGGACTTTGGCAGAACGATAAACTTGCTGGTTTCCAGTCTTCCGGGAAGTGAGCATGTTCATATTAAGTTACCTATCCGTAGGGAGGCACTATTGAGCTCATTGAGCCTAGTGCTTAGGTCCTCCAGCGATCCTACCATAAGGAATCTATCGTCGGGGTGAGTGTGATGTACTCGCCATTGACGTTGATACCGTATCCAAGTCCACATACGCAAGGTAATGTGGTAGATTGTACTTCTCCGTCTTCTGTTCAATTTTCCGAAGAGTATGTATGTGGTCTATGGTGCTAAAGCCTTTTCGGAAACCGGCTTGTTCGGGAGGCTGAAAGTCGTCAAGTCTGCTTACGAGACGATTCGTAATGACTCTCAAAAAAAAACAGCATGTCGACGCGACTTAGTAGGGAAATCGATCTGTAGGTATTCAAGAGAGCGTTGTCGCTTTTCTTGAACAACAAGGCCACCGCATTTGTGCTCCACGCCTATGGTGTAGTGCTACAATGGAGGACGGAATTAAAGAGCTTCTGAAGGACTTCAAGTACTGTTTTTCAGAAGCTTCGCTGTAATTCCATCCTCGCCCGGGGACTTGCCGTTTTTAAGTTGCTGGTGAGCCATTCTAGTCTCGCTCAGACTGACGACCCGAATATCATCGGAATAGTGTTGGACAAGACTTGCTCTTGGATCATTACTCACACTTGCGTGTGGCACCAACGATGATGTGTACAGCTACAGCCCATAAAACCTCTTAATCTCACTCAAGATCTCAGGTGTCCCGGAAACGATGTTGCCACATTCGGTCTTCAGCTTTAACAGTTGGCTCTTTCTGGCAGACAGATTTCTGGCAATGAATATGGAGCCCTGAATCCGCTCGATCTCTTCTTCAATACGATCTGTATTGAAGTTGCGTAAGGTCCGCCGCATAAATTAGGAGATATGTCTGTTCAGTTGCCTGTATGATGTCAAATCTACTGAAGACTGCAGCTTCATTTCCTGTCTAACCGCGATGAGATGTTTTTGTGTTTATCTGCGGCGGGTCTTGCAGAACTTAGCTCCGACCGCTGAATGGTCAGTTTTCACGAGCTTGTCATTCATATCGTCCATTGCATTGCAGTCTTCTAACCACTGAAAACGATTTTGTAACTCGAGCTAAAAAATTTCGTGACTGGATTAGAGCACGAGGGAGAGCGTTGACTTCATTAGTGTTTGTTCACGAAGAACAGGCGGCCGCGGGGGCGGCTGTCGGTGCGGTGGTTTTGGGCGAGCTCGTGTTTACGTTGGCTGCCAGGCGTTTGGACGAGTGTGATGTGAACCTCTGACAGGTCGTGGATATGGATGATGAACTTTTATTTTTAATCGAAAATTCTTAACAAAAGTGGGAGATGACAAAAATAGAATTGGTGTGCACGAAATTTATAAAGAAAGAGAACTAGCAGGAGAGACTAGCAGAGAACTTGCCTAAAGTCGTGAGTCAATCGCGTGCTCCGCCGCTAGTTCGACGTGAACACACACAAATAAATTCATACGTTTGATATTTCCGCGAGTGCACGCCGCGCGCGATAGTCGCCAGCTTGCTCGCTATTTCCACCGCACTTGCGTTTTGTACGTGAACACTTGAATGTAATGCTAAGTGTTTGATATTTCGTGACCGCGCTCGCCACCGCGCCCGCGAGATAACGCCAATTTAATGTTTAGGTTAAGTATGCCTCTCACCGTTCGGTGATCGCTGTCGGTTTTCACCCTCGCGATCACTGAGACATCACTGAACGTCATAATAAAGTTAATCTCATTTTTTGTCGAACCGTCGGGGCTCGACAAGGTCCACTTCCAGTGGGACCGCTTCTGGAAGTAAGAGTTCATTATAAAGAGTCCCCCGTTCTTCATGGCGTCGGCCAGCCCCTTGGATTCCATTACCCTTATTCGAATTTCCCTACTTTCAGCTCACCGTTTTCTCTTGTGCCTAGTTTTGCGTTGAAGTCTCCCATTAACACCGTATAGTGGGTTTTGGGGGAATGCATGGCTCTAGAGATATCCTCATACATTTCCTCCACCTCCTCATCGTGGCGTGCCGAGGTTGGTGCGTAAACCAGTATGACCTTCAGTGAATACCGTTTAATGATTCTGAGTATAAGGTACGCAACCCTCGTCGACACACTCCCAATCTTTACAACGTTGTTAACGAGAGACTTGTGAACGATAAATCCGACATCTTCTTGGGACAGATGGTCGCTCTCCCGGTGATAGAACAAGTTGCCAGATTCGAGGATTATCGTGTCCTCCCCCTCTATTCTGACCTCGGATAATCCTATAATATTCCAGCGCAACTTATGTATCTCTTCTTCCAGTTCCAGGATCTTCTCGTCAGTCCCCAGGTTGCGTGCGTTATATGTTGCCAGGTCGAGTCGTCATAGGTGGCAACTGAACCTCCACCGGAGTTTCTTAGCACCCTCTGGCTCGCCGTTACAATGGTCTCGGTATATTGCCATAGTTGCCACGCTTGGCGGGCGGGTTGGCAACCGCAGTTTTTTTAATGCTTTTTTTTTCTATCAGAAAGCTGCTGCTGCCCGTCTTCTGCCTCAGTTTCCCTCTGTGGCCTCTTACGACACCCACGGGAAGATATGGATTAGTGGGTATTCTTGTGGCGGGCAAGAATACCCACTAATACACGGTAAATCCTCATAGGTATATGGCTGAATGTTGTGATCCTTGACCGCTCCGGTTTTAGGAGGTCCCTTGCCAGCAGGGACCGGTTCAAAGCCTGCGGTAGAGATTTGTCGCTCACTCATGAGTTGCCTCGTTTGAGGTCCTCGTGACGGCAAATCGAAAGAGTTACTCGAATTTTAACATTAAAACACCTCACTCACTCGTTCACGACCTCGCTTATGACTGACAATATTGTTTCGATCAAAGAATCGGCAATTTTTAATTGTCTCGAACCCCAAGCTCGTAATAATATGAAACGTGTCATCGGTGCGCTAGGGACAGATGTGTGCGGTGCGGTCACTTATCCAACTGCTTATTTTTGTGCTTTAAAAAAAAGGTCCCGCTGGGTTAGGAGCCAGAAATCAAACGCACAGAAGCGAAAACGTTAAGTGTTGAATAGAAGGATGTACCGTGACACATCACTGACTTTTCCATTATGACAAAAAGGATATTGACTCGTTCAGTATATTGAAGCCTATAGCCCACCTCAAGATCATACCAGTGCAGGTAATTGGACCGGTGGGAGAAGTGGACAAGTGACCCTACTGGATGATGGGTCAACTGTTTCACTGATGGATGAAGAAATCGCCGAATGAATTGGAGCTACAGCGCGGTTGGACCCCTTCAAGACCACCGCTATTGGGAACACTATCCTCAACTTACCGGGGTGCCGAAGAGTCACAGTTACACAGTAGCGAGTATTTAACATTAGCATACAACTGAATTGTATTTCTAAGCTCTTTATTTCAAACTAGCTCGTCAGGCAGACGTTGTTCTGCCCTTTCCAACGACCCTTCCTATAAAAATCCATAAATTCGCAATAAAAAATTTTGAGGGTCAATTATCGCAATACAAACTATCCTATCTCTCAAGTTGGACCAAACTGCACACAGTGTGCAAAATTTCATTGCAATTAGTCTAGTAGTTTAGGAGTACATCGCGGACAAACAATGTGACACGTAATTGTTATATATAAAGATTAATTTGTTAATTAACACTTTCTATTGAATAAAACTATGTTTACGGATTTTATCGCGTTTAATTTACTTTTTTAATTCCCCACGTTTCGAAAAAAACGATTGCGGTGAAGTATCTTACATAATGTCTTGGTGGTGTTTCTAATTATACGACCATCACTGTATATCGATATTTTTATGAGAATATATCGATATTTTGATATTTTTTGCCCAAGCCTAGTTAGCCCGGCTACCTTCAGTTTTTGAATATTAATTTTGGTTCGATCTACGCAGAATGAGCTTGAAGTCTTCCAGTGGTAAGATTGGGTTTGGATTTAATTTTGTTAATTATAGGATCCCAAGCAGATGGCAGCACCCATCCATCTTTTCTATTGAAATTAGGATGTTTTTTAATTTCAATAGCCTCGCGTATCATCCTTGGTAGGTATCGGTATTCTTTTGCGAGGATTTGTAGTTTATTAAATTTGATGTAAAGGCGGGGACGATCTTGAACATGTTCACAGACTGCAGACTTCACAGAGCGTCGGTGCCTCACGTCGGCTATATGTTCTTTCACGCGGGTTTTAATGGATCTTTTTGTTTGTCCCATGTAAGAGAGTTTCGCAATGAAGCTTGTACACTCCTGCATCTTGTAGAGGGATATTACACTTGACGTATGGTAAAAATTGACTAATCTTAGGCGGCTTGAAGTATTTTTTAATGGAAGCTCGCTTCAAGATGAAGCCAACCTTGTCTGTGACTCCTGAGATAGTACAGCAGGCTCACACTCGACTGTGGCCGGCTTCACTCGGTCACTGTGACGTAGGCGCGGGCCCCGAGCTTGTCGTTTTACAATACTTGCTCGACGTGCAGAACCTCAGCGGCCAGATGTATTCTATCACAGATCCCTCGTGATCCTCGTGCTTGATGATAGCAGTACATCTTGAAGCGAGCGCGATTTTTTGTGTTAAATCATTTATTAATTTAGGTTAACTTTAAAGGCATCAAGTCTGATAAGGTATATAAAATAAGAAGCAGTTTGATTTGAAGAAATATTTTACTGTACATATTACTTACTAAAAACATTTAAACATCCTTTTACATTAATGTATTTCATGTTTATTGATATTTTCTACATTTTATGCCCTAAAACACCTACAGATCATAGTATCGTCATCAACAACAACAAATAAATAAATAAGCAATAACTTATAATATAGATATTTTACAAACAAATCATATATGTAGGTACAATATTTTTTTTTAAAATAAGCTTCTAAAGTTATTTTCTATATTGTGCAATGCTTGTGACAAAATTGCAGGTTGTCGTTTATGATTTGCGGATGATTCTGCGGTGTGTGTTTTGGTGCCTGTTACAATAGCGTTATTAAAAAGAGAACTAAATGCATCCATTTGTATATAATTAAGTGACTGAAGAATGATTCCTTTATCAGGATATGGTGTAGGTGTAACAGAAACATTAGAGTGCTTAGTAAGACTTATATTTTGAGGAGTTTGAGCACTCGGGGCTGATGGTGGACCTTGATCTGTGGGCCCTTTTGGTGTTGATGGCATTGGTTTCTTTTCACCTGAAAATAGTTTAAATTTGTAAATATTTTTTCATTTTTATTGTTGTTGAAAGACATTTTGCAGATAATAATATATGTTTGTAAAAAAGATAAATAAATACCGTAGTTTTTGTGGAAATGTAAAAATTGAAAGGTATCCTTTCAATTTTTACATTTCCACAAAAACTACAGAAACATTGTATGGTGTATGAGCTCCTTTTTGGTTGTATAAGCTAACTTCATTATTATACATTTAGTAAAGATATTTTCAAAACCTATAATATTTCTTTACAAAAATGAAGGACTTGCATACAAATTTTCAAGAAATATTTTATCCACACTAGATTTAAAAAGTAGCCTTATGTCCTTTCCTGGGATTCAAGTTTTATCAAACTCGCTTCAGTGGCTTATTCATGAAAATAACTGACAGACAGGATTACCTTAACATTTATAATAATATGACAGTGTGTAAAAACACCCTGTCCAATCTGAAAGGAGATAGGTACCACAATTACATTACCAAAAATTATCTTCTTTTTCCTTATAGAATAAGGGTGACATGAGCACACAGTCCACCTGATGGTTAGTAGATACTGTGGCCCATAGACATTTACATTTATCGTCAATTAAGACTCAAAATGCGGATGCGTTGTCACCCCTGGGGACTAAGATGGATTGTCCCATTTCCAGTAAAAAGGGTCTCTGGTTCTCTACACTCACCAAACAAAACACCAGCATTCAGCACTACAACTATAGCTGCAGCAATAGCTCTACCACATATAAAAACTTACTCCCTTATTATTAAACATTAATTTAATAATAAATATAAACTTGTAATTGTAATTAAAAACACATATTTTATACTACAAATTGCTTAAAATTCAGCAAATTTTTAAAATCTGTCAACTCTGTATTTTTAACCAACAGCAGTTTATTTTTAATTAAATATCTGAAATCTGAAAATGATTAAATTAACAGAATTTTATCACAATACCTAAATCCACCGGCATGAATGTTTTGTTTTAATAATGTTAAATATTTAAATAAAATGTTACATAACCATTATTCAGTCTCCAGTTCAACAAGTTGAAAAACAACAAAACAATTTAACCAACTCCAAGAAAAGTATATCAACCGTAATTTTAACACACTTTTATTAACTTAACCTGTAGGGATGTAGTTACTTAATATTTTTTTTAATAACCCAATTATTTGAGTCTGTCGCTGTTATAGGAAAGTGGAAGTTTAGAAGTATTAAAACTAGTGTGCCATATTTTCCATATATTACACTTTCCACAATTTATTTAGAATAATAAAAATTGAAAATTCAATTAACTTACTTATAGAGTGGATCATCCTTTCCAATTCCCTTAATTGTGTTTGTTGATGTTGAACTGTAAAGTAGAGATCAGTAATTGTTCCTGTTATGTGCTTCATTTCCTCTTCACGTTTTGCTTCTTTTGCTGCTTCTTTCTTACTTTGTCTTTAATTAAACAAAATATAATAGCAATTTAGTGCATATTTTTTAACAATTTTCGATTATACATTAGGAATTTCTTTTGAATTATGGATGCTTTTAACATACATATATAGCAACCTGTACATCGACGGTCTGATCATTGAGCTCAATGATGCTGGAGTTGGCTGCGCAATCAATAGTCATTTTGATAATAATATGAGCTATGCTAACGACATGGTTTTGCTGAGCCCATCGATCAGGGCCCTCAATACGCTGGTGGGCATCTGTGAAAGGTATGCGGCAGCTCATGGTCTCAGATATATTTTTAAAAAGAACGAACTACTCGTTTTTAAGGGTGGAAATAAAAGACCTGATGAACAGTGGTAGAGCCACGCGACAGCTTTTGCTGTCGCACGGATGGGCCGGCTCGAACCGGGGTGGTACCACGATCTCACAGGAAACCAGCGTGAACCAGGTTTACCTCTGTGTTTCGCTTGGTGAGTGCAGGTGGCCGGAGGCCCTTTTTACTGGAAATGAGGCATTCCATCTTAGTCCTCACGGGTGACAACGCATCTACATTTTGATTTGTAATAGAGGATAGATGTAGATGTCTATGGGCCGCAGCAACCACTTACCATCAGGTGGACTATATGCTCGTTTGTCACCCTTATCCTATAAAAAAAAACCTAAGTCTGTTCCTCATGTTAGACTTGGAGGAGTTACACTGAGTAGTCACCAAATTCAGATATCTGGGACACTGGGTCGCCGAGGATCTCTCTGACGATTATGATGTTGAATGAGAATGTAGAGCGGTGGCAGTGAGGTGTAATATGCTTGCCCACAGGTTTGCTAGGTGTGCGAATGAAGTTAAGATAACATTATTCAAAGCTTACTGTCAGAAATTCTACACCTGCAGTCTGTGGGCAGTGTACCCGCCGAACTCTTAATGCGCTGCATATTTAATACAACAATGGACTCAGAGAGAGCTTTTGCAGCACATCACGCACATTTGCCGAGGCATGTGTGGACAGCTTTGCAACAATATTACGCAAAAGAATAGCCTCCCTGATGCGTTGCATGTGAGACAGCACTAACAGCCTCCTAGCTTCCATATATGGAAGGCAAGATTGCTCTGTGATGAGGCACTGGAATACAATGCATATGGGTTCCAGGCCCAATATGTTTAATATTAAATGATAATTATGGTAATGTATAATAATTTGTATTATGTAAATTTACTAACCCCTAGTTTTAAGTGTTCTAACAAAGTGGGTGTAATTACCTGAATAATGAATAAATAATAATAATAATAACAAATAGACAAACATTTAAACCCAGAACATTTGCGTAAATATGCAGTATATGCATATGCCTCATAGCCCTTAGTGTCGCAATATGCATTATTAAATCAATGGCTTAGCCACTGCACTACTAAGCTGTTAATGAATTAAAATGCTTCTTTTTTGTTTATATGTATGTTTTTTATCAGCCTGTAAAACTTGTTTTCTGAATAAGGGTCTATCTTATTATTTCAAAGATCTTTTAATATTGCTTGGGAAGTCATTTGTTAATTGCAGTGATTTTACAAGCCAGTGCTTGGCTTGAAAAGTGATGTAACCAATTATGGTAATATGCACAAATTTGTATATATATATATATATATAGGAATTGTGTGTATAAATAGGATTAAGAATAGTATCCAAATCTTGAAACCTAGCCAATGTGCAGCCTGTGCCTTAAAAGGGCAGTGTAAGTTGGTAGGGCAAGTGCCTATAATGCCTTCAGTTACCTCCATACTCTACAAAATGTATGGATCGTATATTGAAAACCTACCTCATGGCACAGAGCATGACTAAAACGAATAATCTCCTAAGTGACCGACTGTATTAATTTTGCCGAAATCTGTCAACTGGGGACATTCTAGAGTATGTCACTCACATATGGGTTGAGGCCCTTAGGAACAGTGGGGAACTACATTTTTGTTTCATGTCTCGAAGGCCTTTAATAGTGTTTGGCACACTAGCCTTTTGGGCTTCCAGCATACAGCTTATCCCCTGGTCTGATTAACTGGGTGAAGAAGTTTCTGAGTGAATGGTCTCTATGAGTCATCACTCATCATCAATGGTTGCTTGCCCTATCCTATGGCGATATATGTCAGTTCTTCAGGGGTCCACTATTTGGTTTAAATGTGTGAGCTAATGAGACAAGATAAACAATCAACTACAGCCTGTAAAAAGTTACTGATGAACATATTCCTTCATTGCCACATTGAACATTGCCTTCTCCATGCCTCTTTCTCTATTCCCTCAAGTTATTGTTATACAATATTCCAAATACTGTCTTCATAGATATTGCATACATATTTTTATTGTACCATATTTGTTATAGTTTCTAAATCTGAGTCCAATAATATGAGGAATCATACCTGTTGTATTCTACAACTAAAAGGCCAGCACCAATGATAAAAATTACTGTTTCACCAAGAAGGTTAGCTCCAAGTTCAATAGCCATTTCTTGGCTGAGGACTGGAATATTGACTGGTTTCCCCAAATTTAAAATCCACATTTTTGCCTTCACTTCACACCAATTGTAAACTGAAAAGCATAAAAACATTTTTTAATAAAAGCAAGTTTAGAAGTTAGAAGTTTATGAAAACTAAAAACCAGAGTATACATTTTTATAAAAGAAATTATTGACTTACATTGGGCTGGCGGCATACAAACATACGTCCTGAAAAAAGGGCTATTTTTGGCTCTTTCCTTACAAGCATTAGCAATGGGTTTACTAATCTGTTTTATTAATAATACAGATAGTTTTGCGATAGGAAAGGCTCCCACCACCATTGTTACTAAGAATTACACTTCGATTTCAAATAATCTAATGTTTTAGTAACATAATATAGGTATATTAGAAATATAAGAAAATCATCAAAGGGTTTTTATAGAATTCATTTATTAAACGAAATAAACGCAGTCGAATCGAAGAGTTTATAATAGTAAAATCTGATCTAAAATGCTCGTATTTAATAAACTCAGATCTTAACAATATCTACATAACACTTCTTGGTATATAGCACAGAGTACATTATATATAGGGAAGTATATAGTGTATTATCTATGCATAACACTTTATGACTTTAGTCGATTCTATATAGTTTGTGCTTTAGTCTATTACAAAGAGTATAGTATTAGTAACTGTCTTATGAAGTCTATTACCATCTATTACATACACACAGAGTACTTTTTTAAATAGGGCATAGATAAATATATATGTAGCAAGCTATAGGATATTCGTAGATAGAGGATACTATGTCTATGAGGATATTACATTAATTTTTAATTGCTCCATAATAGGGATGCCTATATCGAAGAGTCGATTTCTCGAGCCCAAAAGATCGATTTTTAAATAGATATGCAGTACTGAATCGATCCAATGAATCAATATTTCACCCTGATAAATCGCCATTCGATTTTTTTTCAAAAAGTCGTTGGCGTTAATCGCCCGTGCAACCCTCACCCTTAATTTAAAAGCGTTTAAAATTTTTTCTTATATTAGTGACTCCTTTAATTTCGTTTTTAAAAATTCCCGCCAACATTAAGGGATTCGTACTCAATAAAAACGACGACTCAATAAAAACCGTGTGTTTAGCCATTCCCATTGACTCTAGGGAATACTCTTATAAATTAATTTGTAGTATGGCTTATAAATATCATCATTTTCTTGCTGCAGGTCTTGACTAAGCTATGGCGGTTTTCTTTTCCCGCCCGCGTCGTGCTTCATGCCTTTAATTATGCCGTGTTCACGATTTATTAGCCAATTACTCGCATCACATATAAGCCTAGTTAATGTATATTTTTGAAAATAGAATAGAATAGAACGATTTTTTAGAGGGACTTTTTTTTAAACATAATTTCACTTAACAATAATTTTGTATATACAATTTTAAATGAATTTTCATAGAACCAGCATGGTAGCGATCACCCTATTCCCAGGGGTTAATATCATTCATGTATTCCTTGATATTATAATAACGCTTTTTGTACAGTTTTTCTTTAATAAAACTTTTAAACTTTGTTTATTGACAAACTTTGAACATGTTCTGGGATTTTGTTGTAAAAGCGTAAACATTGCTCCATAAATTAATTACTAATTCTGTGGAGTCTAGTAACTGGCATTACAAGCTTATGTTTGTTCCTAGTGTTTAAAGTATGCACATCCTTATTCTTATTAAAGCTATTTATGTTTTTATGTACATACATTATATTTTCATAAATATATTGCGATGCTAAAGTTAATAAGTTTATTTCTTTAAAGTTTTCTCTGAGGGGCTCTACAGCTTAGATTATAAATCGCCCGTACGGCTCTCTTTTGCAAAACAAATATAGTTTCAATATCAGTCGTATTACCCCATAGCAAAATTACATAAGACATTACGCTATGAAAGTAACTAAAATACACTAACCTAGCTGCCTCAACATCTGTGAGACTTCTAATCTTTCTTACAGCATATGCCGCAGAACTAAGTCTGCTTGCTAATTTAGATATATGGGGGCCTATTGAAGTTTCGCGTCAATAGTAATACCAAGAAAAACAGTGATATTCACAAGACCCAACTCCTCCACATTTAAGAGCACATTGGTTTTCGAATGGTTTACATTAGGTATTGTAAATTTAATACATTTTGTCTTATTGCCGTTTAAGAGCAAATTGTTGGCGTTAAACCAATGTACTAATTTCGATAGAGCATTATTTACATCGTCATAATTAATTGACTGCCGTTTGAGTTTGAAAATTAAGGAGTTATCGTCAGCAAATAATACTATATAGTTATTGTCCCCCACAAGATAAGGTAAGTCATAAATATAGATTAAGAACAGGAATGGGCCAAGAATCGAGCCCTGAGGAACGCCCATTGATACTACCGATCCGGAGGAACCTTTACCATTGATCACGACTTTTTGAGTTCTGTTACTTAAATATGAAGTAATAAGTTTAAGCGCCAAATTTTTTTACACCGTAATGTTGTAGTTTCCTGATTAATGTCTCATGATGAACACAATCGAAAGCCTTGGAAAGGTCACAGAAAATACCTAAGGCATCTTGTGAATTCTCCCAGGCATTAAAAATATATTTCATAAGCTCAACACCGGCGTCAGACGTCGAGCGACCCCTTGTAAAACCAAATTGGTTTTTATGAATTAATTTAATTGTATTAAAAAAAATTGATCCAATATTTTTTTTTTTTAATTTTTACTGAGAGTTGGTAGTACAGAAATAGGTGTATAATTAGCGGGGTCCAATGTACTACTAGATTTAAATAAAGTTATTACTTTACTATACTTCATTAAATCAGGAAACACACCAGAATCGATACAAGTATTAAAAATAATAACAAGATGAGGTGCAATTAAATTTATTATGGACGTAATAACTGTGACGGAAATCCCCCATAAATCTGCGGTTTTCTTTACATCAATTGCTTTGAAGTATTTTACAATATTATGTGGTAATACTTTTTCAAATCTATATTCTTTTAAACAGGTATTAACATTCTGTTTAAGTAATGACTCGGCGATAGTTGGAGAAGTATTCAATGACTCTGTTGTCAAGATAGGAACATCAGTGAAATATTTCTCAAATACCGCTGCAACTTCTTGATTTGATTTAGTCAATTCATTATTAATTTTTAATTGATAGTTTGTGTTCGCGCCAAACGCTGTTTCGGAATCGGCGTCAGAGGGCGCGCGGCTCGGTGCCATACCGGTTTGACATTCGGTCGTGCGTAGAACGCGCAAGCGCAGTAGTCGTCTGCCAGCTGTGCTTGGGACAGCACGCCGTCATTTTTTGTCGGGAACTCGGAATAATTAGGCGCGGCTAGTAAATGTACTGTCTAGGATTTGTGACGCGTATTCCTTGCTGTAGATCTTTCCCGGGACTCATTGAGTTTGACTCGGAATCTGTATAGGTGCATTCGACAATATTATCTAGTGCGGCCTTTGATATTCTAGAAATAAAAGCGGTAGTGACCTTTGATCCGGACACTCCCTGTTCGTTTGTGTGTTAAGCTTTACGAGATTGATATTAAAGTCTCCACACACTACAAGAGATTTATTCTGTTTATTAAGCTTAACTAAAACTTCTTCCATATTTTTTTCAAAAGTATCATAACTTGAAATAGGGGGTCTGTTAACAGTGACAACAATAAGGTGCTCAAGCCCAACACATGCTTATTCTACAGTACGCTCAACAGAGAGGCTCACAATATCTTTAGATAAGGATTTATTAGCTAATATTAACCGATTCGTTGCGGCACCGCTTTTCGACAACTTTTAGCTGTGACGGCGAACAAATAATTCATGACACGCCTGGCGTGCAGAAGCACCACAGAAGTTGATGAAACGCCTATTGTGCCATCAGCCATGTGTAAAAATAATTTTCTTTTTTATGCTTTTTTCACTTGTTTAGTTGATATAAAACACCAGTTACAAACGAAAGGATACTTGTTATTAGTGAGTAACTACGTGTTTTTCTACGTGTTTTCTTTGAAATTGAGAGTATGTGACTTTTTTTATGCAGAGATTACAAACCTTTTGTATTATTTTTTGTTTTATAAAAAATCATTTATATAAGTAGGTACAGTTAAATCACCCTGGAAAGCCTTGGTTTTTATTAAATTAAATTTTCATCTAATAATAATATTTGTAAATATCAAACAATGAAGAACCTTAATTTGGAAAAAAATAAGGTTAAATATTATTTAATGTTATACAAATGTAAAAGTAAAGTCTATCTGAAAACGTCTAATTAGTAAGTATAGCAAAACAAGTGTTTTCAAAAGGAAAAAAACGCCAGCGCTCTACGGCGACGGATTGATATTTATTAGCGAACTTTTTTATGCATGAACGGTTTCGAAATGTTTCAAGCAAAAATAAAACAAGAGCACATGATACTTCGTAGGTCTATTCGGCCATATAATAGTAATAAGATGGCAGTTCAACCATTTTAAGTAAAATTAAACAATAAGACAAACGCATTGTTTTTTTTTAACAGGAGACTTGTTTTCCAGAAATTTATTTACAACTTGAGTTTGTGAGCGATCGCAATGAGTGCTATTATTTATTACTTATTAGAGTATTTTTCCACAACATGATTTAAAACGCACAAAGTAAAAAGAGTACCATGTACAAGTTAAAAAATGGTTGTCAACCCCTAAAAAAATAATGAATATTTTGTTCTAGATAAATCTTCCAAAAAAGCAATTTGAGCGAATTATAACGATTTTTAAAAAGACACGACTCGCGTGTTATACGCCACACACAAAAATAATCGATGGTACGCCTGGCCTGCTATCCGCGCTGAACCGGTTATGGAGCCACCACGTAATTTAGTATCTCTATTGTACGAACTGACCACCTGGTGATTAATGAAATTAAATAATATGGAGTTGTAATCTTTCAGCCAATGTTCAGTAATACATAAAATATGAATAATGTTACTACCTATTTAAATATAAATCAATTTCTGATTCTTTGCCTAACATACCTTGTATATTTTGATGGACCATGTTAATACAGTTTTTATTATAGCTTTATATTTATAGATTTTGTGAAATTACACAGTTAAGTATTGTTGAGTTGTACCCGATGGTAAGTGACTACCACCGCCCATGAACAACCGCAACACCAGGGGAATTGCAGATGCGTTGCCTACCTTAGAAAGGAGTAGGCTCTTTTCTTGAAGGTCCCTAAATCGTATCGGTCCGGAAAAATTGCTGCTGGTAAACTAATTCACAAGGAAGTTGTGCGAGGAAGAAAACATCTTCTAAATCGCACAGTGGTAGACC